CGAGGGGAGATGAGGGGATGACAGTTCCATGTAGAGATGGAGAGAGGGCGAGGGGAGATGAGGGGATGATAGTTTGTTGTATGACTTAAGGTGCTTTGTAGAGATAGGGGTGGGGGGTGGGGGGTTAATAATTTGTTGTATGATTTACTGTGATTTGTAGAGATGGAAGAGAGGGGAGGTGACGGGATGATAGTTGGTTGTATGACTCACTGTGACTTGTAGAGAGCCAGCCACATGCGGGAGGTGAGGGGATGGAGGTGAGGGGATGATAGTGGGTTGTACAACTTAGAGGGGAGGTGAGGGGATGATAGTTGGTTGTAAGAGGGGAGGTGAGGGGATGATAGTTGGTTGTAAGAGGGGAGGTGAGGGGATGATAGTTGGTTGTAAGAGGGGAGGTGAGTGGATGATAGCTCATTGTATGCCTCACTGTGATTTGTAGAGAGCCAGCAACATGCGGGAGGTGAGGGGACGGAGGGGAGGGGATGGAGGTGAGGGGATGGAGGTGAGGGGATGATGGTTTATTGTAAAACTCACTGTGACTTGTAGAGAGCCAGCAACATGCGGGAGGTGAGGCCCTCTGGGTTGGGGTTGTGCGTAGCCAGCCTCCAGTCCGAGTACATGGACACCCGCTTGCTGCCCTTGACGGCCACGTACATGGGCTGTGGCCGCTGTATGCAGCAGAAGGTCACGTGGCTGGTGGTGTAGAGGGTGGGGCACCAGTGGCCATACATCGGGGAGTTGAGCGAGCCCGACGGGGTGGCTGGGGTCGCGGGAGGGGGTGGGAGCTGCTCAAACGAGGATGATGATGATGACGATAATGATGATGATGATGTGGAAGGAGTCGTGGATTTCGACACCTGCACTCTCAGCGATGATGGTGATGGTGGTGTTGATGATGATAACAGTGATGAAATCATTGACGAGGAGGATGAAGAAGAAGAGGAGGAAGAATGTGGCGGTCGCGGAGGGGGTAGAGCAGGCGAAGACGAGCCCCCGGCCGCTAACACAGAGGTGGCTGTAGCTGATGCGGATTTCATGGGTATGAGCAACTGAAGCGGGGTCGGGGCCGAAGACAATGACGATGACGATGACGATGATGAAGGCACCGACGTCTGATTGTCTCGAAGTGACGACGCGTCAGACGGCGTCTGTTGCTCCTTGTCCACAGACGACCCCTCGGAAGTGTCGGCGTCATCAAAACTCTCCGCGATACTCAGCTTCCCCAGCGGCTGAGGCGTGTCCAGCGATCCCATCTCCATACCTTCCTCTCTGGTCAAATCAATCGAATCTGACGCCGCCGCTGGCGGTGGGAATGAGGAAACTTCAGGTTTAGCGGCCGGCTTCGCGCCGTCCGAACAACCACTCGCAGTTGTCGAGTTCCCCGCCGCAACCTCCGAGGAGGAAGGAGGAGGAGGAGGCAGAGACAGATGCGAGCGGCTGGAGAAAATGGCGTGCCCCAGAAGCGTGGGCGAGGGGTTCCCTCTAGCGATGGCCATGGCCGTCATGGAGTCGAGCGTGATCGGGGAGGAGGACGTCCACAAATAGACCAGGATCTGAAAGTGGCTGTGAAGGGACAGCGAGCGCTTGAGCAGCCAGTTCTTGGTGTCCTTGTGAGACGCGCCCGACTCGCTGACGGCCGGGAGCTGGATCCTGGAGCCGGGCAGCGTGAGGGGGAGGAGGGTTCTCTGCGAGCGCCACGACATCCGAAGCGGCCCGCTCTGCAGCCAGTCCATGTGGATGAAGTGAGCTGCGTAGTTGATGGGGACGGTGACTTTGTTGTTGAAGGTGTCGTCCGACAGGTCCATCGTAAGCTCGTGGCTGTCCAGTCCCCCGTGAACCTTGGGGAAGACAAAAGGGTTGTCCTGAGACATGCTGAACATGCCCGAGTCAAACGACTCGCAGCCGCTCTCCATTTTACACTGGAGGCTCCATTGCTTCTTCGAGGGCGTTCCGTCGGATCCCACAGACGCTGCTGAGCTGAGCTTTGAGGACGGGGAGGAGAGAATTTTGGGCGGGACCGCCTTCATCGTTTCAGAAGAAGAAGACGACGACGACGACACGACGTTTTTCTCTTCAATACTCAGCGGCGACGGCTTGCTTGGTTTGACCTTCTTCACCTTCTTGGCTGCGGCTGCCGGCTCTGAGAACGCTCTCATCACCGGAGGGTGGGATTTGACCCCCATGCCTTCTGGGACCAGGGGCGTCTCCGACTCGGATCTGAAGAAAGGTTCTGGGGCTGTCTTCTCCAGCGAGGAGTCTTTGCTCTTTCCCATCACAGCCGACGTGATCACCGCGTTAGGCTGGCTGCCCAGTTTCTGCGAAGACACGACCGGTTTGGTGAGGGACGCGAGTAGGACAGAGTTGGAGGATGGCGGGGCGGCAGCTTGCTTGGAGCCAGCGACCGGGTACACCACAGACAGAGGGGGCTCGGGAGCTGGCGGGCGGGGTGTGGGTGTCCCTGCGTGGTGGTGGTGGCTGAGAGCCGAGGGGTCCATACTGAGGCTCCTCTCAGTGGTTGTCCTCTCGTGACTCCGCTCTAGACTCAGCGACTGCTTCAACAACAGCTTGTCCTTGAGCCGCCGCATGGTCCCGCTCAGGAGCTCAGTGGGCGTGTCCGGGGTGGCCGCGTGGGAGGAGCCGGGGGCGGAGCTTAGCTGAGACATGCGGAGAACGGAGGGCTGTAGGGATCTGGTGTCGGGGAGGGGGCTCGCGACGGACGAGGCAGCCGTCAGCGACAGTTTGGCCAGGGAGCTGTTGTCTCCCCCTCCGCTGTGGAAGGAGACGGCCGGAATGCACGGAATGACGCGTGGGGAGTTCTGGGAGAACTGGGCGCTGCCCACCGACTGCGCCGAGGTAATGTTCAAGGTCAGACCTGGGCCGGAGGTCAGTTTCTGCACACCGCCCGACACCGCCACAGCCGAGAGGTGGGGGGCAGAGTCGGTGCTGGACTGGGGCTTGATGACCTTGGCCAGAGCTAGCGGGTGGTTGGTGGGTGTCAGCGGCGTGATGGGGGTGCCGGGGGTGCCTGGCGGGAGGCCTGCCAGGGGAAATCCTAGCATGAGGCCCGACTTTGGCGTGCCGGGGGTGAGCGAGGCTAGGGGCGTGCCCGGGGTGAGCGAGGCTAGGGGCGTGCCGGGGGTGAACCCAGACACAGAGGCACTGGACAGACCAGTGAAAGGGGTGGCCGAGATGCTGAGGGGTGTGCCGGGGGGCAGCACAGGGACCGAACTGGTCCCGCTCAGGTTGAACGTGGGCAGGGACACGGCGGCGGCCCCCGCCGGACTCACGCTGATGATGGGCACGGAGGCCGCGATACTCCCACTCTTCGTGGACGCGGACAGGAGGCCGGGCGTCCGCGGGCTTGATCCCGAGCTCAGCTGTCTCATAATCCCGCTCCCCGCGGGAACTACGGGCACCATGGGCTGACCGATCATACTTCCGCTGCTCGCTGCCACCCCTCCCACACTCGTCAGCATGTTCAAGGTCGCGGCGGTGGCCTCCGAGATGGGTAGTGAGATGTGCGACGACGAGGAAGGCTGGCCTGTCGCGGAGGTAACAGCGGCAGACATGGGCAGGATGAGTTTGGGGAACGGCGACCCTTGCAGGAGTAGGACCTGACTCCCAGAAGTCAAAGTCTGGCCGGCGGCCGTCGACGACTCCTTCTGTTTGCCAGTGTCCAGCGTGAGCGTCCCCAGAGTGCCCTGTCTGTTGCCCGCCAAGAGAGCCTGCGTGGTCACTTGCGCCTTCGCCGAGGCTTTTGCCAGGACCAGGTTCAAATCTTTCGGCCGGTTCTTGGAGCCTTTGGGTCTGCCCTTCCTTCGTGGCTGGCTCGGGTGCAGGCTGTCCATGACCAAGTTCTGCTGTTGCTGCTGTTTGATTTCCTGTGAAGTTGCCGACACTGCAGTCAGCTGCTCTTTGACGACCTCCATATGACTGTGCTCGGCATCATTCGTGGACAGAGACTTGAGCAGGGCGGGGTTAGCTTTCTTGATGTGCTGCGCGTCTCCAACAAAGAGGACATCGGCCGACAGCTGAGACCTCTGGGAAGACTTCAACGCTTTCAGCTCCTGCGACTGTACGGCCGCGGCATCCATGGCCGACAGACTCCGCCGCAACCCCCGAGCCCGCGGGCAGCCCTGGGCGTGGTGAGAGCTCAACTGGCTCTGCTGCTCAAACGACTCGCGGCAGTCTTCGCACTGGAACAAACCCTGCTTGACGTAGTCGCTGGCCGCGGCTGCCAGATTGTCCGACAGGCCCTGGCGACGGAAGTGCTCGGCGGTCGGGGCTCCGTCCACCATTAGGAGAACCTGCGATGACGACTTGTCGCCCGTTCCGCTTACTGCAGCTGCCAGTTTGCCCTTCACGGGGCTGTGGTCGGCGGGCGGGTGAGTGACCGATAGTCTGTGCTGGAGCTCCGACATGAACGGGTACGAAGGTCGAGTTGTCTGCCCTTGGCTGGAGAGAGAGTTGCTACCCGTCGTCTGTCGACTCATGGATTTCTTCTGGTCATGAAGACTGCCCGAGCCCAACAGGCCCAAGACTCTGGACTGAGCGGTGGATGGCGATGAGTTCGAATCTTGTCGAGCAAGGATGGAGTCAAGCGAGCCAGTCTGCATCAGGGACGCTGTTGGCGTTTTGTCCAAAGAAGAGTTGGAGAAGGAGGAAGAACCCAGTCCAGAAAACGAGCGCGAGGCCAGAAGAGGCGAGCCCGTCTTGGAGCGAGCCGGGAACTGTACCCCCGGCTGGCCAATCATCGGGCTGAGCTGTCTGGGCGCCTGCAGGATGGAGCTGATGATGCTGCTGTTGCTGCTGCTGCTGTTGCTGCCGTCTGCAGCAGCGGTGCGAGCTGTCACCAACGGCGAAGGTGTTGCCAGGGGCGCTGAAGATGCCAGTTGGGCCAGTAGTGTGGCTGATGCCGGGGAGGAACTGGCCACTGGTGCGGAGGACGCAGCGACGGACGCGTGGACGCTCGGCTGGATGAGAGCCACGGCCTGGTCATTGGCGTTCTTGGATAGTTTGATCTGGATCTGGATCTCGTGCGGACCGGGGCCCTGTACAATCTTAGCGGGCATAGATGCCGGGATGGAGTGAGGGGGGATGGATATGGTGGAGACAGAAGTCTTCTGGGGGGTTCGAACCCCAGCCTGGCTCGACGATGGTTGTATGTTGAGCCGACCGCCGGACGGTGATGCGGCATTGAGAGCGGCGGCCATTATCGTCGAAGGCTGAGTCGTGTCCGACGTCGTTTGAAGGAGTTTTGGCTTCGTATCCGCGGCCGTGCTGGCAACAGTCTGGAATCTAGGCAGCCCGCCTACAACACTCGGACTTTGGGGTTTCCTCTCTGTTGTCAAGTGGGACGCGTCCAGGGTTTTGAGGGTCAGGCTGCTCTCCCCTGCGCTCACCTGGCGTGGGAGGGAGGTGATGGGCACATAGACAAGCTGCGCCGTCTTCAGAGCCTCCATCTGGACGGGTGTGAGAGAGGACAACTGCGAAGGGGGGAGGGCGGCCGACAGCTGGCTCTCCACCATCCCCGCTTTCTGCACCACTTGTCCGGACGTCATGGAGGGGGTGTCTGCCGGTGCCGTGACCTTGGCGGCCATGATGGGTAGCACAGAGCTGCCGGGCTGAGCGGCGGCATGCAGCGTCGGGGGTTGATGTGGGAGAAGGACCGCCCCCAGCGGATGACCCGTCGATCCGGGCAGAACCACCCCGGACACGCCGGTCACTCCCAGCTTGTTGTTCTCTGCTGGCAACGGGGCAATGTTCTGTAGCTGGCCAGACTTAACCGCGCCCTCGTTCGTCGACTCCTTCTTCAGCGAAGACGTCGACATGGACCTCTTCACAAAATCTGGCCGCAACGTGGCACCGTCCGTGTCCCCGACCGACAGAGAGGCGGCCAGCTTTTTCTTCCACAGTTTGTCTCCAGGTGGTTCGACGGTCAGCCGGTCCACAGACGCGCTCTCTGTGCCGGGCCGCAGGTCGGAGATCCTGAGCGTCTGGTAGCTTGAGTCGCTGGTCTGTCTCATGTACATGTAGCGGTTGCGTGGCCGCGGGGGCTCGCTCACGCTGTGCCGGTCCATGATCTCTGCGTTGTTGGTGATGATCATCTCGATCCGGTCCATCACCATGTCCGAGGTGACGGAGGAGGCCGGGGAGTAGCTGGTTCGAGTCTCCAGGTCCTGAGAGTGAGCGCGGTGCTGGGGGCCCAGGGTCAGGAGGCCGTCGTCTTGGGAGACGGGGTTGGAGAAAGCGGCGTTGTTCGAGCTGCCCAACGCCGGGTTCCGTGTGGCCGGGGTTGGCTGCTTCGCCACGCCCGATTCGTCGATGGACGGGGAGGAGAGGACGCTCTCTCGGCTCGACTGGCTAAACACGGAGCGGAGACTCCCCACCGATAGGTCGCTGCGGTGCGACATCAGCTTAGGACGCTGCTGCTGCGACAAGTCGGATGAAATCCGCTCCGACAGATCCGAGCTGTGAGACGTCACCTGAGGTCTAGGCCGAGACTGACCAACAACACTTCCTGAAGACATCATCACCAAAGACGCGGAACTTGCGGCGGGGGATATTTCATCCACAGAGGAGGAGGGAGAGGAGAGGAAAAAATTTGCTGCTGTAGCACTTTCCATAAAGACTTTCTTGGGTTTGAGGATTTTCACGGTCATTTTGTCTCCCGGTAGAGGCTGGTGGGTCATGAGTACGGGCAGCACGGCCGACGGGTACTGAGCCTTGTAGCTGTTCTTCAACTCCTCCAGCTGATTCAGGATCTCCGTCGCGCCGAGGATGTCGCTCATGCCCAGAATGTTCTCCCGCGTGAGCGTCTCCGCCTCGTCGTACTTTGCCATCTCGCTCTCCGAGGGCTTATCGAATGCGTTGAAGAGTCGGACGAACCACTTGCTCCGCCCCTCCCTCTCCAACTGCTCCTGGAGCTGCTGCTGCCTCTTGTTCTTGTCGATCCGCTGTCGGATGCCGACCAGAACCCGCTCCTGCCTCACCAGCTGACCGGCCGCCGCCTGCGTCTGCGCCGCTGCCAGCTCCGTCATGGCCACGCCCTCCGTCCTCTCCACGACGACCTTGGGCTGGTCGAGGTCCTGATCCTCGTCCTCCTTGTCCCCGGCACCCGCGCCCTCCACATCTGTGTCCGTCCCCTCAGAGTCTCCCTCGTCCTCCTCCACTTTCATCTCGGCCTCCTTCCCGTCCCCTCCCCCCGTGCTGTCCTTACTTCCGCCCCACGAGATGCCCGTGCGCGACACGTGCGCGTTGGACTTGCAGTGCTTGGACAAGTTGCTTTTCGTCTTGAATGACACGCCACACACCACGCAGGGAAACGGGCGCTCGTTGGTGTGTGCGCGCAGGTGTTTTTCCAGCACGCTTGGCTTGGCGCACGTGCGCTGACAGTACTTGCACTGATACTTTCCCGGCTTCTGAGGGTGAATCCTCTTCCTGCCCGGGGAGGAACTCTTCTTCTCTGGAGAGGCGGGAACGACCCCTGTCTCTGACCCGTCACCGTCTCCCGTAGCCGCGACCTGACCACCGCCTGCTGCCTGAAGAGGGGGGACCCCAGAGCTCCTGCTAACAGCTGGCGATGACACAATGTTCTCCTGCTGTTGTTGCTGCAGCTTATGCTGTAGTGGTGGTGGTGGTGGCGGTGGGGTAACTGTTGCCTGCTGCCGAGCTGTGACGCCGTGCGACTGGAGGAAGAGGCGCAGCATCTCCGAGTTCTTCTCCCCAGACAACGCGTTGACGATCTGAGCTTCAGTGGCCTCCACTACCTGAGCCCCGGGCGTAGACGCCGACAAGGGGGCCATCGGATCAGCCACAGTGCTTGTCGTCACCTGCAAAACAAAACAAATAGGAGGCATCGTGGTGAAATCAGGCGCTCATCAAAATAATGAAATTGGAGAAACAGGCATTTTCCGCCAGATTGGTAATTTTAAAAAATTGGGTGGGTTTTTTTGGTGCTCAACACCTTTCATGTCCACATAAAAACATATTTCCAGGTGAATTTTACTGAAAAACGTTGCTAAGAGGCACAAAATATGTACAATTTTCAAGCTATTGAAGTTATCAAACTTTGGCGGCCATTTTCTCACTAATATTACCTCTGAAATCAGGTAACCTACACTTCCCAGCTAACGGGATGTAAACCTTTTAAAATCTGTAGAAACCACCCACATGGATTGTTAATTAGTATTTATTAAGGAATTTTCTAGAATTCAGCTAGCAGGTGTTTACAAAAATGTTTAACTGTTGAGACAAATTGGTACAAGCCGTTGCGCAAAAGCTGAAGAGCTGACCTACCGTGTAATAAGTCCCCGGTGCGGAACCGTCATCTGGCCCGTCAGAGGAGGTGGTGATGATGATCTGGGTGGCCTCCCCTCGCTCCATGAGGTGCAGGTTGTCCACCACAATGTACTTCTCCTCTCCGGACACCGTCGTTGTTGTTGCTGTTGTTGCCCCTGACGCCGATGACGATGATGATGACGCCGATGCACCCTGGGAAAGGACCGGGGTGTCTTCCCGCATGTTCTGAAGCTCCGAGTCGGTCACCTGTGGGATGAGTCAGTGAGTGAGTGAGAGGGTGGTTGGGTGAGTGAGTGAGTGGGTGATGTGGTGGGTGAGTGAGTGACTGGGTGGGTGGTTGGGTGAGTGAGTGAGTGAGAGAGTGGGTGAATGAGTGAATGAGTGAGTGAGTGAGTGAGAGAGTGTGTGTGTGAGTGAATTTTAGTTTTAGTATAAGTTTTACGGTGCTTGCAACTGCATAAGGTCATATGAGCGCCAAGGGGTGGATGTCAACAGAAAGTCCTTACAGGGAATCAGACTTGCTCTGCTCACCTCTCTTGGCTTCAATAGCACAAAGTCTGCTTCGACTACCAAGGCACCCCGGAAATAGAAAATAGCGGGTCACAAGAGTGTGACAAACATACAAAAGAAGTAGAGGAAAAAATGACAATAGTAAGGATAAAGAAAGAAAAAGCAGCAGTTCCCTGTTGTAGATCAGGCACAGTTATGAGCAAGACAATGACGAATCAGCCCATTTACAATTCTATTGTGCATAAGAACAAGTCAATGTCTCCTCTTTGGGAAAGGCCTAAAGACACTTCAGTCAGTACCACTGCCCCGGGGGGATGAGTGAGTGAATAAGTAAGAGAGTGAATAATAATTAGGAAGGTTTTACACCCCAATCAACATAGCACAGGCACTTTGTAGAGAAAATGAGCTTTGTGGGGAAAAGCAAGGCACATTGTGAGGAACTTAGGGAAAAAAAAAAGCAATCATTCTAATTTCGATGTAACAAATTTTATTTTTTTCTTGTTATTTGTGTCGGTCGAAAAGGGGAGAGGACGGGTGTGAGTGTTTGAAGGATTTGCTTGCTCTCTCTCTCTCTCTCT